TTGTCCCCTGTATGGGTTTTTGAGGCTGAAATACTGATTTTGAGAGAAACAATGAAAGGAAAATACCCTTCTGTATGATTTGGGGTTGGGGACACGGAGGTGTCATTTATAAATCAGTGATGGCAGAGGTCTGTGTGTGCTGGGGTGGGTGGCATGCATGAGGAAAGCTTGGAAAAGAGTTGTTCTGTTACTAAGTAAAACTGAGAAAATAAAGTTTTTAGGTACAATTATGAAGCTTGATTATTACCAGAAAGTCCTAGTGCAGCGTCTTATTCAGGCCTCTAGGAACATGTTTGTTCACATATTTGGGGTTTTTTCCCCCTTTTTTCATGAAGAATTAGCATTGGTCAAAATTTTGCTTTCATCATTTAGTAACACATTATTTCATTTTTCTGCTACTATTTTCACAGATTTATAAAGAAGACGTAGTCCATCTCATTGTCATATGTTAATCAATGCATTGGTGACATGGACATTCACAGCCAAAGGAGCAATGACTCAGACCTGACTTTGTGAATAATTGATAACTTAGGAAGCTCATAAGCCCTCAAGAACATGCCCTCCCTGTAAAAATACCAAATGACAAAATATATGGCTTATGTGATTGCAAGTTAGTCTCAAGGAAATAAATACCATATTTTGTACTTTTGAAAGCTCAGATTCGTATGTGGCATACTTTAGAGAGAAAAGTCAAGAGATAGAATTTACTCATTAAACAGTTAACATTATTCATATATAAGCATTTATATATATGTATCCTAAACTTCCCCATTGCTACTTTTTTCCATTCACAGATATCTTTACACTAAGAAAAGTAAAAAAAAAAAAAAACAACAAATGGAGAGAGCACATACGTGAGGGAGAACTTTAACAAGCAGATAAGTCTTCCACTGTTGAAATGCTGCCAAAGCCAACTGTGCAGTGAATTTTCAAAGGAGGAGTGGTTATCACTTGCATTCACCACTCTAGCTTGCCTCATGCCAGATAAAATTAATGGCTAAAAACTCCAACCTAACTTTGAAACAAAGATTTACATACTAAAACCTGATCTTTGTCAGGCCATTATAGGAGAAAATGACATTGCTATGCCAACTGCAGATACCTATTCATAAAAGAAAGGAATTGTACTTTGACAATCATATTGCAGACCAATAAAACACCAATCTGGACCACTCCTTGGACAGTGTAATCTACAGTACTGCATCATGCCCGTGACATGGAAAGGTTGAAAAATACGTGACTATTCAGATATGTGCTGAACTGGATCATTAGGATTAGTTATGTTGGGGCATATCTCGAGTAACTTTTCACTAGAGTGTTTCATTGCTCTGTTGAAGCCAGTTAAATCTGTTCTAATAATTTCTTATGTCAGTGAACTGAATATTTTGTGGGGGGGGTGGGTGGGAAATGAATTAGTTTATACAATGACACAATAAACTATTTAATTTCTAAAACTTGAATCTAATTGTAAAGTGGAAAAATCCTTGGGTACATAAAGTGTGCTATCCAAACTAAATAGATTCCTTTATGTGGGGTAAATTTAAGAAGTGGAGAAAAAAAAAAAAGTCAGTGGCAGTATTTTAAGTAAATGTCAGTGGAATAATAAGCTTCGCAGATAATATTTCTTGCTTCTTCAGGGATTATACATTCTAAATATTTATACTGACCCAAACTAATAATAAAATTAATTTCAAATGCAAATGCGTGTCACAACATATACACAAGTCACTATCTTCATAAATATTACTCTTGAATATGTAAATTGTTGGCATTTTCGTATATAGGTCAGTTTATACAATGACAGTAAATTGACTTCAAGAAAAAGACACTAAGAAACACTTTGAGCAGAGTTGTAATTACCTTTTCCTTTTCAAAGAGTCTGCTCCAGATTGCAGGATGCCTGTCATGTTCAAAAATAAGTGCATTATAACGTTGGACACTAGGTGGCAATAGAAACCCCCCTTTGCTGCCTTTGAAATCTAGTCTCTCTCTGAGTTTCGAGCTTCACATAAACTTAAAAACAGAAAGCAACATTTCTATTATTCCTGTCTCACCACAACAGTCCCTTTCCTTTTGATGAATAATTATGTTTCAGGTGAACCAAAATGTTTCATGTGTGTATGACACTGGATTTGGAAAGTAAGTTCAGTGCATTTATTACCTTTGTCATTGGGGTATTTAGCCATGAAAAGCATGAAGATGGTACATTTGTTTATAAATGCTAAAAGATGTATTGACATTTTATGGTACCTGGATAGGATGTATACTTTAATGCATGCATCTGAATATGAGACATAAAATTCAATGTATAAACTATCTTCGTATGAATGATTCGAATACCTTTTCCCATTGCATTTCTAATCAAGTAAAGAGTTTCTCCTACAGGGAATAACAGGCAGTGAGCTTGTTGCCAACAGAGACGTGCTTTTCTTAGGATCTAATAACTGGGAGGAAGAGAAGTACTCTGAGATGGAACATAAATTTAATATAATGGTATTCATTAGTAATATTCATAAAACTTCTGTCAGAATGTGTGCAAATTCTTATGTAAGATGACATTGAGGATTTCAAGGGGGAGGAAGGACAGAGTGTGTGAACAGTGAGGTACAAATCGAACTGACTCTTTGCTTTGTTGGCCAGGTCTAGGCTGTCCCCAGCACCTTCACCTAGTGCTGCACCAGCTAGACTGACCTCCAGTTCACTCACTGGGTTCAATTCCAAGTGTTGAGCTCCATGTATGGGGTCTGTGTGGTTTAAACCCTTGGTTACTTTCAAATTCGCTTCCTTTATTCTTTACCTCACAGCAGTGGAGGTAAATTGCATTTGGAAGGAAGTTTTTCTAGTGAAGTGATTATAGGTTTTTTAAAGTTAGGTACATGGTTGTTTTCATGATTATTTGCTGTCGGTATTAATTGATGATACTCTGGAGACTGAGTCATTTTGAAAATATACATTTCACTGTATCAGATCAAAAAGCTCACTCCAGATTAAAGGAGTCTAAAGATCTAAAGAGACAACTAAATACAATGTATAATTCTTGATTGGATCCTGAATCAAAACCAATAAAGCATTAAGGAAAGGTTATATATTAGATAGTAAATTTCTTGGGTATGTTATGATATTATGGTTTTGTAGGAGAATGTACTTGTTCTTAGGTGATTTATGCTAAAGTATTTGGGTTGAAGTGTTAGGTTGACTACAACTAACTTTCAAATGGACCAGCATAAAAAAGTATGCATAGAGAGATGAAGAAAGGAAAAGCAAATGAAGCAAGACACTAAATAGGATAACTGAGACATGTTGGCATTCATTGTATTATTCTTTCAACATGTCTGTAGTTTTGATATTTTTCAAAATAAAAAACTGGGGAAAAAACCCCAACCAACTTCAACTCTGGAAATACATGATAGAAAATAAATAATATAACTTTTCTACTTGTCCAGAATGAATCTACTATTTTCTTTGGATGGGCTGAAATCCAGATATTCCAAGGCTAATATTTACTCAATTTTTTTGTGACTGAGAAAGATTTTTGTCTTATGGATAAGATAACAATGCTATTTGTTTCTTGAATAGATTGTAAGAACGAATGAGGAAAAGCCCCATAATTTTTACAAGAAAACCTACCTTTTCTACTACAACCCCACCGTCCCAGGCTGATTCACTAGGTATTTGATATACAACATGCCATCGGAGGCTGAGTCATCCCGGCTACAAATCGAAACTGTGAGTCGAGAAAAGAATTTCTAATCCAAACCAGAGCCCCAGTCTCCTAACTGATGTAGCTTGTATAGTCTTATCAGTTTTAAAGTTTTCTCACAGTATGTAAGTTTATAACAATTTAAATGTCAATACACAATTTGAAAGAAAAAGTGTTTGGAAATATGGAATATGGAATATTGATGACCATGTTTTGCCATTGAAAATTTAAACTGGCTCCTGGGAGATCATGTAAATGAAGTAAGTTGTTAACTTCGTTACACTTTTATTCAGCAAAATGGCCATTAAATGTTGTTTGTGTATAGTACCCTGCCTTGTTCAAGAGAGAACTTGAACAAGTTAACATCAGGGAAGTGTTGGGGCATAAAAAGCACCAAAATACGTGTATCAGGCTTTTAACATACAAATAGAAATTCAGTTTTGGCATCTATGACATATCTTCTGAATGGAATCATAGAAATAAAATATATATTTTAAGTTCTCTTTGCTGAGATGGTGTGGTTTGAACCCTATGCTTAAAAATAATATATTTAATATATTTTTATATATAATATATGTAATATTATATAATTCCTAAATAATTAACATATTTAAATTAATATGATATATTAATATATTTTCATGACTCATTTGCTTATCATATATCTACAAATGTAGTAATTTTTTAATTAAATGGGCTTATATACATATCTACATTTAGAGCCAGTTGAAGAATACAGGACTTTATTTCAGATAAAATAACAATTTTTCCAGAGTGAACTTACGATGCTGCCATTCTCAAACCCTGTTATTTGTGCATGTATTTTCTTTTCATAACTTTTACTATTTTTAAATTAGGTTTCTTAAAAATTGAAGATAGCCCTCCTTCTTCAGAGTTCTGCCCCATTATTGGGTTTCTTGTGGCTCGAAATCACCTTCTGAATGTGGACAGGGTGTGTCTACCTCATCGTAGTTAGATCTACCCGAGGAAAACATTCTCAGGTGCTAAACATATATGTCTGCTTTACATATCACACACAGGTTATCACGTCACAGAGGGCACACGTATAAAATAAAAAGGAGAACAAAACCTTAGGACTAGACTTCAGATATTTTTAAGAACAAGCTTTCAGTCATATTTAAAAGCTGGCATAAAAAGTTATTGAGTAAAAAAGAATCCTCCACATTTTACAAACCACAGTGTGTATCATATAGCATAGTGCTTCTTCCTGGAGGCGGCTGGCAATGCCGGCGGGGGTGAGACGAGGGGACCGCGCGGGGCACCGGAGGGAGGGAGCCCGCCTGCGGCCCGCGGGCCGTAAGCCAGGAGGGGCGGCCCCGCTGGGACCTTCCAGCCCAGAGGAAAAGTCTAAGATTCCAAGGGAGAGAAGCTCAGTTTCTCCATCTTCTCAATCTGGAAATGACGTGTTCGGAGAGGTACAGTGGTGTGCATGTGTGTGTGTGCGCGCGCGCGCGTGTGCGTGTGTGTGCATGCGTGTGTGTGCGTGTGGGCGCGTCTGTGTGTGTGCATGTGTGCATGTATGTGCGTGTGTGCATGTCTGTGTGTGCGTGTGTGTGCACATCTGTGTGTGTGCGTGTGTGTGTGCGCTTGTGTACGTGTCTGTGTGCGTGTGTGCGTGTCTCTGTGCGCGCGCGCGTGCGCGTGTGCATGTGTGTGTGCGTGTGTGTGTCTCTGTGTGTCTCCATGTGCGTGTCTCTGTGTGCGTGTCTCTGTGTGTGTGCGTGTGCATGCGTGTGCGTGCGTGTGTGTCTCTCTGTGCGTGTCTCTGTGTGCGTGTGTGCATGTGTGTGTGCGTGTGCGCGTGTGCATGTGTGTGTTCCCTCCAATTTTAAGCCGGCTGCGCCGTCCGTCTTCAGGGTCAAAAGATTCCGCCGGGCCCCTCGCCGTGCCGGGGTGCAGCCGCCGCCCCTGCAGGCTTGCGGCAGGGACGAGGGAGGCCGCCTGCCGCTCCCGACCCGGGACAGGGCGCACGGGCAGCACGTCGCCGTCCTCTTGTTGCTGTCCGTTGGGGGCTGGCTGAGCCTCCTTATTCTTAGAGACTTGGCGCAGAAGGCGGTCCACGTGGGCAGAGTCGGGAGACCCAGACCCGGGCCCGCCCCCTGTCTTGATAACGCACAATTTGAGCCACGCACGTGCAGGCCGGGCCCTGTGGTGGCGGGAGCTCTTTCGGCTTTCCCTCGCGGAGACTTGCCGCGCGGTCCACACTCTCCTTTCCACCTGCTGCGCTTTTCCTGCTTACAAAGCAAAGCGAACTTCCCACCGTTCGCAGCAAACAGGAAAACAGGAAGACTTCCAGAGTTTGACTTGCTTACGAGAAGCCTGAACTCTTTTGAAACTGTCCATTTTAAACTGCTCCTCGGGCTGAAGGTGGCTGCAGATAAGGAGACCGGGAGGGGAGGCCGGAGCCGGAGGCGGGGTCGGGGGTGGGCTGGGGGTGGCAGAGCCCGCTGCAGCATTTCGTCCTCTCCCTCGGCGCGTGTCTGGCTCCCAGGCTCACACCTGGGAAAAATACTTTGATAAACACCCCCATCTTCCTTGGGGCTGCAGTACCAGAAACCAAAGGAATGGCCGAAAGGTAGAAATTTAAATTTATTGGCCGGTCAGTATTTATTGTGCATTTGCTATGTGCACCTTTATCGGACACGGTGGGCAGAAGTTTTGTCAGGCAGCACTGTGACCTTTCTTTAATCCTCCACACTACCAGAGTTTTTTCATATGAAATGCCAATCGCGTATTCCTCCTCAAGGAGAAAAATACTTTGATAAACACCTCCATCTTCCTTGGGGCTGCAGTAGCAGAAACCAAAGGAATGACCGCAGGGTAGAAATTTAAGACATCGCGATATCAAGAGTGATAACTATTTTTAGCCATATCAAACTTTAGCCTTTTGGGATTGAAATACACAGAACAGTTTCCATCAAGCCCCTTCACCTTTTGACTTGGATGAAGAAAAGTAAAAATCATTAATTGGTTAGAGATCAGTGGGCATCATGTCTCTAATTATTTCTTGGTTAGAGTATCCTGTTCTATCATTGTCATCAGTTGGACAGAAAGGCAAATTTCTTTTTAAATTAATATGTCCTTAAATTAATAACATGAATTATCATTCATCCTCATGCTAGCAACTCTCCAACTCATTGGGGTGAAAAGTCCTGACGCTCTTCGCAGAACACCAGAAAATATTACATCGTACAGAGTAGGAATTTTATTTTTTACCCTAGCACAAATGTGACTGTTTATAAAGTGTCCAATTACAGCCTTGGGCTTATAAGACCATGGTGACAAATATTCTTACGCTGAGTTTTTAAGTTAATGGTTTTGTGCTGGTTATTTATTTTGTCCCTTGTTAGTTGCTAACAGATAGCTGTGCGTTCCACAAGTTCAGGTAAAATTTATGCGAGTAAAATTTCAAATTGAAAACACATTATCCATGGACAATATGTCTTCCCCGACAAATGGAAAAAGACAGCAGTTATTTTATCAGTAGAAGAGCTGTGTCACCCTTGGGATGGCAGCGTCCTGCGGCAGTTTCTTGAGAATAACTCACCTGCCCGGTCGTTGGCCCGTGGAAGAGAAACAGATGTGAGCACAGCAGAGGCGACAGCTCTGAAGTCGTTGCTGCTCCTGAATCCGTCTTGATCTGTGGTTTTCTTCACATTCATTATTTTGAATATTTGCTTTTTTTTTTTTTTGCAGTGGAAGAAATCAGTAATTCCTTTTCCCATCACATCTTGAATCTTCTTTATTATGAATATTTTAAATCTTTTAAATTTTGTTTTGGGTTTTACTTACAACTCTGACATCCCATGTTAAAGAAATGGTCGTTCACATTTGCAAAGGATGAAAAATGCAGTGAAATGAAAAGCAATGTATCTCAGATGTGTATTTGGCACATTATAATTTGAATTACTTTCCATTCCACTCTCTTATTCTTCTATGCATTTATTTTGCATTACTTTTTGTATAATTGTTCTTTTCCCAATTTTGTGCCAGTACACCGCCACCCTTCCCCAAATGCCAGCTGTGATCACAAGCTGTTGCAGTTCTAAAGAATGGCAGTGTGGGACACTCATGGCTCTAATGCAGGCGGCCTCAAACTACGGCCCGCGGGCCACACGCGGGTGTTTTTGCCCGTTTGTTTTTTTACTTCAAAATAAGATGTGTGCAGTGTGCATAGGAATTTGTGCATAGTTTTTTTAAAACTATAGTCCGGCCCTCCCACGGTCTGAGGAACAGTGAACTGGCCCCCTGTTTAAAAAGTTTGAGGACCCCTGCTCTAAGGATCTGACCTTAGGGTCCTGTTCTTCCACCTCATCACCAATGGTCATTTTTGTCTTTGTAAAGGGGGAAATGAGTGTTTTAGCAAAACTGAATAAAAACCCTGACATTTTCAGTGGATGGCCAAGCTCAATTTCTAGCTTTCACCCCTTGTTCAGGAAATATCGAGTGCAGTGAGGGACCAGTTTAGGCTTCAAACAAATGCAGAAACGCCACGGCGCCTATTTGCAGAAGTTCTATTGAAAGCCATAGCTGGGCTGTTGCCAGCGTAATGTGCTCTGATCAAAAAGGATTCGAGAAGGTTTAAAAAATGAGCTTTACTTTAAAAGACAATAAAAGTAGGATAGACGGAGGTTTCAGGGGGAGGGAGGAAATGGGCAAGAAAAGAAAATATTCCAACTTTTATGCCTTTTTATGCTTCGCCTTGCCTTATTAATCATTGTATCAGTATTTGAAAGTGAGAGAAAGCTATTAGTCAGATTTTTGCCATATTTTTCTTTTATAATTTATTAGCAACCTTTTGTTGTTACACATTAGAAACATTTACAATAGAGAAAATTGTAAAAAAAATGTAACTCTAAGTAAAAGTGGAATAAAAAATAAAATAAAAGAGCAGAATCTAATATGCATCTGGTTGAACACAGATTTCTTTCTCCCGTGCTTTTCATCCTGTCATGTTTATGTTCACTTTATTTATTTTTTTACAGTGTCTTAATTTTGTGAAGGGTCTGTGCTTTAAGCCTATCTTTCCAGTTTATCCTGCCGCACGCGGATGACATTCAATTAAAATCAGCTGAAAATGACTTTCCTAGGCTTTGGATTTTTGTGTTGGAGAGAGAGAGAGAAGCAGCAAACTCTATTCATTAACAGAATTCAAATTTATTCATCTTTACTGCAAAGAAAAGCAGTTGTTTTGTTTGTCTTTGTATCCTTCCAAGAGAACTTCCTTCCCTGTAATTGAGAGTGTTGCTTATGTTTTGGGTTCAGAGACGCCTGCCTGCAGGGACTGTGGTATCTTAACCAGCCCTGGGCGGGCATTCGGATGGGCTCATTTCCATAACATGCAATGGGGTGAGGAGCTTTTTGAAAAATAATGGCAGTGAGTGTTCAAGAATTTGTTTTCTTGGTGGCATGGAGAGATTTGCATCCCTGGCATCTCGGGCTGCTCTGATACTTTGAGGAGTAGGCCTGCTCTTGCGGTCGTTTCCACGTCTAAGATCTTAACTTTTACCATTGGATGAGGTATCAAGAGAGTTTAGAAACAAACAAGTTTTACAAAAAGTTCACATCATCTAAAAAAAAAAAAGAATAGAGAAAAGAAACAAAATGATTGCTCCCAAAAGAGACTCTTAACAGAAATGATGACTCAGATTTATTTTGATGTAAGTTCACTATAAAATAAAAAAAGATTAAAAGAAAGTTTTGGTGCCAAGAAAGCATGACGTGTCATTCAGATCATGACTTTATTTTCATGGCTGTAATTTACAGCTGCACTTATGGTCAAATAAGGCAGATGGTGCCTCAGTTTGTTGTCAGAAACAATCAACAAAATAAATTAAAAATATATTATTTAAGTGTTAATGGACAAGCATATCCACTGGCCCAGAGAAGAGAGACAGGGTTCCTATGGTCACTGAAGTTAAGAACTAAGCTTGTTGGATTTTAATCAAGTGAACTTTCCAGATATCACTTTGAATACAGGGACTATGAATTTTGATCTAAGTAGAACATATTTGTTTGAGTTTTGCATTATTGTTCATTTTCCACTGGACTAAGATGACATACAATGTTACCATCTTAGAATACATAGCTCAGACCCTGAGGAATTTTAGCTAATCTTTACAAGCCTAGACTGATCGGCACTTAGCAAATAATTCAGTAGTAATTTTCCAGTGTCCTTACAGAAAATAATATTTCATCTCCTTCCCTGTGAAATACTTATCAGTCTAGGCATTCCCCGGAGAGATTAAGCCATCAATAAGACCTTCAGTGACTGTTTGGAAAACTTGTGTTGAAGATCTCAGGTACCTATAATACTTTCAATTATTTTTCTTTCAGTTACCAATAGTTTTTTTTTTTTTTTCTTTTTAGTCTATGAAAACTGCATCTATCACATGCTTCTGTGGACCAGCGGCTTCTGAAATAGCACATGAGCAGCCCAGGTGACTTCTCAACACATGTTAAATCAGTCACCCTAAGTGGCAGTATTTGTCAACCTGAAATGTAAACTCCATTTCTGCCTTAAATGATAGATCAACTAGCAGGAGAATATCAGAACACCATAGGTACAGAACCATTTTCTGAGGAGCAGTGTGGTTTGGATGAGGCCAATTTGTTTTTGATATTTGTCGTTGGGGCATCCCCTAAAATGTGATTTGCCAAAGAGCTCTGTGGACTAGTGGCATAAACTTACTTATTTCACTTAACATGCAAAATAGAAACCAGTAACACAGAAGATACGCAGAAGAATGGTTAAAAAAAAAAAAAAGTAATTCCTCACTCAAATCTATTAACAATAGTTTAATGTTCAAATCTTAAAATGCTACTACAAATGGATACATAAAACTTGTCAATTCCTAGTCATTTTAGAAAATAAATGCCACATTGAACTGAATTCATAATTATCCAATAAATGTACGTGCAGGAAGGGAATAATCAATTGATAATATTTTCATGCTTTCATCAGTGAAAAAGGTACACTACTTAAAAAAAAAAATGACCAAAGTTAGCAGGGAGACTCTTTAAAGGAAAACACTAAAAATAATCCTTAAAAACACAGGGTAAAAGCTGACATCTCAGATTCAAAAGAAAGTTACATTTGGCAAGAGCTTTACTCTCATGATGTGTTAGTTATGTTTAACTCTGGTATTTTTTTTTTTTTTAACAAATGACTAAACCTGGACTCTGCATTGCGTGGGCCAAGACATCATCTTTTATGACACATTTCTACACAAACACACTCCCACCGAGGTCATCACTCACCTCCTTAAACACCCGGGGAGCACACGCCAGCGTTTTACTTTACAGAGCAAATTTATACACGGGGCTAGAAGATACTGTGCTTCTATTGAGGCTGCCACGGAGCGACAGGAACATGTGGAGCAGCTCAAGGCGCTTTGGAAATTCTTTCATATTCTGCCCATGCATTTACACTCACATTCCGACTCCCTCTTAACCTCTTCTCTCTCCGTGCTGGCTGTTAGCAATGCCGGCACCGTGCTTGAGCAAGCCCAGGGAGTGGGGCTCGGAACCCACAGCGCTGGAAGAGCCTTGCCGAGCAGGGTGCAGAAAGAAAAAAAGCTGCATGGGGAGCATGGGCAGATGCATTCGTTCTAATCAGGGTGCCCTGGCCGCGGTCTGTCCTGCTCCACATCCAGACAGACGGCCCGTGACTTCAGGAAGAAGACAGCGTGTGCAGCTGCTAGTGTAAAACGTGTGCTCCGTGAAGCAACTTCATGCTCCATGCAGTTTTTCCCTTCTCACGTTCCTCTGGAAAATCTCTTTCACCCAGAAATATCTTTGATCCATTTGCCTGATTTTCTGACTTTATTATTTTTTTCTTTCTTTCCTTTGGTCGGAGCCTCTAACCACCACATGTAAGGGCATCTCAGTAAGAAAAGGAAGCCCATGCTGAGAAAGAACAGGAGGAGGTCATGGAGGATGACAGGGTAGGAAGCAGAGAAGGAAAGATTTGTGGAGAATTGGAGAGAGATGTATCAGACAAACATCAACTCATAAGCCAAATGATCAATTGTCCCTTTCCATTCCTTCTTCTTTTTTTGCCACCCTTGTTGTCCAACCTAAATTTAGCGTGTTTGTGTTTGGATAATTCAAAATCATATCAAAAGCTCCCCATAGGACAGATGTTCTCCTGCTTCTAGCAATTTCTGTTTGGTATTGATGGGTGGTGAAAAATATTCACTTGTTTGCCTCGATTCCTTTATTTATTCCTTCATCAAATATTTGTGAAATAAATGAGTAGGCAACCTTTAAAAAATTTTTGCATGCATAAAAATTTCAAGAGAGACACGAACATTTTGAAGTATTTTGTCACTTCTTTCCCCTTCCTTCCTTTTTGTAAATTTTATTTGGTGAGAAAAAGAATACAAAAGAATAAAAAAGAATATAGTGATGTGTTTTCTTCAAACAGAGTCACTGGCTCATATTCACCCATTCATTCCTCATTTAACATATATTCACAGAGTTTCTATAAGGAACTGGGCATGGGTCTAGTCACCTGCCCGTGAAAGCTACATTTCAAGTGTCTCCATGAAAATGCTCTTCTCTGTTTTCTAGATTTCTCTTGATAGTCTGATATTTGTGTTAACTTGTTCTCAACTTTTATGTACATCCTCATTGTGTCCGATCTTTTTTTTTTTTAAAGGCAGAATTTTCTAAACCATGATCTGTTTGAGCACTAGTAGCTTATGAGATATTAATGGGTAAAATTAAAAAAAATCCTGTAGTAAAATACAGTTGGCACTTTAACATGCCCTATGATCTCCCAGGAGATATATGGTAATATTAGGGTATTCAGAGTTCTGAGAGTTCTACAGCAAAGCTAACAATTTAATGTTGTCTAATCTAGAATTTCTCAAACACTTTTGATCTCAGAGGGATTTTAAGAGAACATCTATTAATATCTTGTTGGTTTCCTAGTGTCAGAAATGCCACTCCTTACGGTAAACAAGTGCTAGTGGGTTCACACTAAGCAGAACACAAAGCATGATAATTATGATAGGAAGATGTCCTTAGAAAACAGGCGGGCAGGTGGGTAGGTAGATGGATAGATAGATGGCTAGTACTTTAGAAAAAATTAGCTCATTTAACTCTTGTAACAACCCTATAAAGAAGGTACTATTATTATTTTCATTTTACAGATGAAGAAACCTATTTGCCTGAGACCATGCAAGATATTTCACAAGTAGAAATTGCTATTGTGGGGAACATACGATATAGCTTAATGATACGATATAGCTTATTTTATTTTAGAGACAGGGTGTCCCTGTGCTGCCCAGGCCCGAGTGTAGTGGCTATTCACAGGCGTGGTCATAGTCCCCTGCAGCCTGGAGTCCTGGCCTCAGGTGAGACTCGCCTCAGCCTCCCAATTAGCTGGGACTATAGGTGCCACCACACTTGGCTAGAAGCTTGGACTTTAAATATGTCTGCAGAGAGGAGGAAGTTAGGAGACCAGGTGGCATACTGCATTTTCACGTGTGTGTGTGTGTGTGTGTGTGTAAAATCTTTCAAGACATAAAGCACTCAGCACATGGTAAGTACTTCATACGTAGTATTCAGTGCCGTTTCATTATCCTGTCATGACGTGTCCTGGTTTGCCAGGAGATGCTGCCTGGGGAAACCTGGGAAGATTTGAAAGCATGAAGGCTTTCTGTTTTTTCCTTCCACTTGAATCTTTCTTATTTCTCTCCCAGACTTTTCTCCATCTCCTCAAAGATCGATCACTCCTCCATTGACAGAGATCCTTCAGTGGTTGAGATAATTGTCCACAATCACTCAGCTAGAAGGAGGCAGAGCCGGGATTGTGCGCCCAGATACACATGATTAAAAAGCAAACCAAGCAAATCGCCTTCCTTCATTCCACTGGCTTGCATTTTTAGGGCTTTTTTCTCCCCGGGTGCTTGCAGTTGGAAGCGATAGGACTGTTAACTGGAGGGCTTTCCGTTGGGAGAGAGATTAGAGGTGCAGGGTCCAGTCTCCTCGTTTATGGGTAAAGGCACAGAAATGAGACAGGCACAATCCCATAAGGACCAGAAGTCATTTCTCCTTTCCAGGTTCAGGGCAATTCGTGTGGCATTGCCGTGAGCTTCGGGTTAATTTATATTAAAATAAATAGTAAAATGTTCCAATTTTATACTATCTACCTCATAGAATGTTTACTACATGCACTTGTATATAGTTTTAAAAGCCAGAAAAGCCATTAGGTAACTTAAAATTCTGGCTTCCGGTTTTCATAATGTGTCCTTTGGGCATCACGTCTTTGTGCATCCTGCAGAACTCAGAACGCCCTGATGGCTCAACAGTGGGAACTGTTTTGATCTATCTTGACAGTAAGCTGCGAGACCAGTTTGAACCATGTTCAAAGTAGACAGATATCATGATGATTACAGTAATGTGCATAATAAAAGTTCTATAACTAGATAATCTCCTAACAGACCATCATATATTTGGCCTGTCAACTGTTTCCACTCATCTGACATGACAGATTTCCTTTCTGCCTTTTCTCTCTTTCTTAATTTAAACATCATCTAAATTGAAAGAATGCCTTCTGTGTTTGAAATTTATGAAAAGGGCTAGGAAACCTAGATGAGCAAGTGAACTCTATTCTACTGAATGCTTTAGTAAAATATGTTTTCACCAGAAGAATTGTGTAGGTAAAATGTGAAGTTGAAGCTTTGTGTTCCTGACTTTAACTTAGTGATCTGTAGAAATGTCAAATGCACTAACTACCCACTCAAGTTTCTGTGGAATGATGAATAATATTACAAGTATATGTGGCTATGGACCCCTTGTTTTTGAGTCTGCAATTCTGTTCTGTGATTCTTTGAGCTGCTTGGCTAGGACCTTACTATCATGCAGAATCTCTCTTCTTTCCTTGGTAGGATATTATTAATTATTCTAAGGACATGTGAGAATGAATGCAATTATACTTGTCACATCTTTTCCTTTAAATATTCTTCAGTGTTTCTTATTGGTTATTCCTTTGCTTACGATAGCATTGCCTAGATTCAATACTCCAAGATTATTAACTTAAGAGAAAACCCCAGATTTAAATCATAGCTCCAATAATTATGAGCTGTGATACCTTGGATCAGTTACTTACCCTCTCTGAGACTCAGTATTCTCACTGACAAACAAAGAAGGGTAAATGAGACCTATCAGATAGGGCTGTGAGGACTGAGAGAGCAACATGCGATTAAGCACAGGGCTCTTCTGAGTTGTTCTCCCACAAATCTTCATTTTACACCTTAAAGGAGAGAAAAGTGAAATAATTTAAGCGAAACTAAACTATGCAAAGACTGGAACAAGTGTGCCACAAAGGAAGACAGCCAAAGGGACAGTAAACATGTGAAGAGCTATGCAGCCTCATTAATCATTAGGAAAAGCCACAAGGCTACACCACTAGATAGATACCCATTAAAGTGCCTCAGATGGAAAAAGGCAACTTCAAGTGTTAGTCAATATGGGGAGTTCCTGGCACTCTCATAAACTTCTGTGGGGGTGTTACTTAGTCTGACAGCTTTGAGCACTGTTTAGCATTATTTATTAAAGTTGGAGATGGGCATCTCTATGACCTCCAAATCCTCCCTTTAGGTTAAGTTGTAACAGAAATACTTAAAAATATGCACCAAAAGATGACCATGATTCCATTTAGAACAGTATTAACTGTCATAGCATAGAACTGGAAGTCACCCACATGTTCATCAGCAGTAGAGCGGCTATGACGTGATATATTCATACAAGTGAACATGATAGAACAATGAAAAAGAATGAGGATCTGTGACATGCAGCAACTCGAACGTCACAAGTGTCATGTTAACAGACATGATGTAATGAAGACAGACATAAAGGAATATATACTGTAGAGTTCCATCTGTAAACACTTCCCAAACAGGCAATTTATGGTCTTCGAAGTTAAGCTATTAATTATTTTGTGAGATGAGGCTGGAGGATGGGATAGTGGCTTGAAGGGGTAGGGAGGGTGTCTTCTAGGATGCAGGTGATGAGTCATTTCTTGATTTGGATGTGATAACTTAGGTGTATTTACATTGTGAAAATTCATTGTGCTGCATGCTTGTAATTTGCATTCTTTCTATAGGTGCTAGGCTTCCATAAAAGAGTCTAATTAAGAAAAAAATCCCAAAATCTAAACCAAGCTAGTGACCTTCACATTCTACCAGGCAGAGTTACTAATTATGCCCCAGCGCCCCAGTGGTCA